GGGCGTTACACATTTAATTTGGAACTATAATTTTTGGTGGATATAAAAAAAAGGAAAAAAAGATAATGGTTAAATTATTATTGGTTTCTCACACCATAACTATAACTTTTGGTGGATATAAAAAAAAAGAAAAAAAAGATAATGGTTAAATTATTATTGGTTTCTCACACCATTGTTTTGGTTAATCTAGCAATTCTTTTTATTAAAACATACGCTGTAATTTTTATTAATGATAAGTGTATTTTTTTCACATATAACATTGTATATGTCTAGCAATTTGCTCCAAATGTTTAATTTTCTAACCTAGATAATTATTTACTATAATAATAATTTTTTGTAATATTAAATACACAAATAATCAGTAATCTAAAATTATTGGATATTTTATTATGTTTATTTTTAAATCCACGCAACGCAACGCGTGTACAATCTCTAGTTTCTATATATGTTGTAGTTACAAGTAAATTTGAAGAGTTTGAGCTCATGTTCTTAATTATGTCTCTCAAGCTCATGTTCTTATGTCTCTCCGTTTGGATTACATAATGGATCAAATTTCTCACTCTTTTGAAAGGATCTGACACGTCTCTCTATCAGGATTAAATCCTTGCAAGGAACCTTCCAATTCATGGATCAAAATTTTCACTCATTTGAGAGAGGCTGACACGCTACTGACGCAAGAGTTACTTTGTCTTTTGGTATATTTAGTGTTCCACATTTTATTTTCTTTAAAAAAGAACTTAGTGTTGATATCTATAAAATTGTTTATTGCATATGTCCCCTCTATGTTTGAACTTAGTGTGGAATCTACAGAATTGTTTATTGCCTATGTTTCTACGTTTTGTTTGGACCATCCAAACCTAGTTACTATATATCAGCTTCAAACATATTCATTAGCTCTTCTTCGAAAGTTTTATAAAGCGGTTAGCTTAATGGTTAGAAAATGTCTGTTTTCGATTTCCATAGTGTTGGGCCATGTGGAGCGTTGGAGTATTGTTATAATACTGTTTTTTTTTTTCTTTATACAATAGAGAAAGTGTCAAAATACAATTTGGTGTTCACATCAAAATAATTCAAAGGAAGAAGACAGAAAAGTGAATCGAAGAAAGAAAACAAAATGTGTAACATGAAGGCCGCAGGTCCTGTGGGGGCCCGAGAGAGAGAGGACACATGGCCAACGTGAGCTTTACTCAATGGCTCAATACAATGTAACTAATGTTGTGTCGTGACTTGTTTTTTTTGTTTGTTTCAGATTCGGAAAACGACAAATCAATTTCATAAACACTTCTTCTTTTGTTTTTTATTTTTCGAAATCAATTCCATAACCCTTGTGTCGGTTTTTTGTACGACATATTAGTTTAAGCCAGAGTAATGCAAATAAAATCTGGCTCGTATCTTTTATGATTGTCTCATCGTATTTATATCGACTAGCAATCCCTCCACTATACCTACTTATCCTCCAATTATATAAACAAACTAACAAAACGAGTGGCCACCAAACTTGGTAAGTTTTAAAAATGTAATTCTAAACGTTG